GCCAAGGATGAAATGTTAGTTACATTGGTGACCGTATCGGACACAATTTCGAGGCCTAGGATGGCTTTTAAAATACTATGCTTGGTTAAGCCTGTAGTCTTGTAAAAGGAAAGGGCCAAATTGGCCCTTTCTTCGTTTTTCTGGGGACCATCTCTGATTGCAACGCGGGATTCCCACAATGGTGTGCTCTGGCGGAAACACTGATTTTGTATATGCATGCACTCGTGAACGCGCGCTGATGCACAAATCGTACGCAGTAGGGATGTGCAATGCAATTCTGAGGAATAAGCTTAAATGTCGCCAGGTCTGAAACAGCTGGACTATTGCGGTCAGTACTTAAATACGGTATCAAAGTTTTGGTCAGGGCATTAATAGGGTAGGAAAAATTGTAGCAAAAAAAAATTGATATTGCTGTTAAATAGGGTAAGGGTTTTCGGAAGTGCCCCCACCCAAGTACCCCCTCCCTTGTGGGCATAGGGAGGGGATCTGGTGGTTTCAAATTGACTGACACAAATATGTACATTACAAAAGCATTTCAAACAAATGAATTTCCAAAACATATAGCAGTTTACACATAAGCTTAATNACAATTTCGAGGCCTAGGATGGCTTTTAAAATACTATGCTTGGTTAAGCCTGTAGTCTTGTAAAAGGAAAAGGCCAAATTGGCCCTTTCTTCGTTTTTCTGGGGACCATTTCTGATTGCAACGCGGGATTCCCACAATGGCGTGCTCTGGCGGAAACACTGATTTTGTATATGCGTGCACTTGTGAATACGCGCTGATGCAAAAATCGTATGCAGCAGGGATGTGCAATGCAATTCTGAGGAATAACCTTAAATGTTGCCAGGTCTGAAACAGCTAGACTATTGCGATCAGTACTTAAATACAGTATCAAAGTTTTGGTCAGGGCATTAATAGGGTAGGAAAAATTGTAGCAAAAAAAAAATTGATATTGCTGTTAAATAGGGTAAGGATTTTCGGAAGTGCCCGCACCCAAGTATCCCCTCCATTGTGGGCATAGGGAGGGGATCTGGTGGTTTCAAATTGACTGACACAAATATGTACATTACAAAAGCATTTCAAACAAATGAATTTCCAAAACATATAGTAGTTTACACATAAGCTTAATAGCCATGTGTTGTCTCATTCCAGATACATGTAAATTACTCTAAAAAATCTTATTGTGATTAAACAAAGACAAATAATCAAATAATTCATCT